CTAGCTGATGGAATGGCTGCAATAGTAGATCATTCTCAATATGGATTTGCAATTGCCACTTGTATACAAACAAATTAGTCTTGAGAACTTGATAGTGTTGTGATTCCTTCAAAACTTGTAAACTATTGCAAAACCTCCAAAAATTTGAACCTCTTCTAAGTTTCTATTTCAAAGTCATCCTAAGCAACTCCAGGGTGATTATTAATAAACAAAGTCAATTCAACTGCTTCAACTAAATTTTAGACTACTGTAAATGCATTCATATAATTGTTAATGTGTCAGTGATTGGAGGTCAATTAGTTTTTAATCCATCCTGTAAGCCATTTACTTGATACTGAATTCAAAATATATTCAGAATTAAATTTCCAGGAAGCATCTCCTTCCACTGTTAGTTGATGTCATTATTTTCTGACAAGCTTCAGACTCTTATTTACCATATTGCCATGCAAAAATGCTTGGCTAACTCAGACAGCTTTGAACCCTTTATTACTTAAGGCGCAAGTATTTTGCATTTCCCGTGAAATGTTGGTCCTTATATTACTGGCTTACTTCTAATGATATTTGATGGGCTGGCTGCAGTTTCTATTTTTGCTTCTAATGCCTCCTGTCATCCCTCATTATCTGATGATATAGATTAAATAATTAGTTAATGGATGCAACTGATTGGTACAATTCAATTTGGGTAGAAAACGATCAGTTTGTTTCTAAAGGTAGCTATCGTGTCTCTATTTTTGGATGCACTTAAGTTCACCCCAGAATCTGAACCATTATCTCAGACTTATAATAAATGTTCTGATTATTTTGCAGCTTGATTTGGCTAGTACTTGACAATATCTAACTTTAAATTGTCAGTGATGCGCAGCCTTAATTAATTGAAGAATTTATGAAATTGTTTTCCGTTATAACTAAACTCTGCTAAATTATTTCCTCAAAAATGTTCTAACATGACTTGTAAATATTTCTTGATATTTTATAACATATCCCTAATTTTTGCTTATTGTATTTCATGGTCAACTCTATTGGCGTTCTCTAACAATGTCATCACCTTCGTATTTGAGCTACTGCTTCTGGTAGATAATACATAAACTTGCGCCTTTCTCCCTAAACTTATTTTTACTGGATCGACTCGCCTTCCTTCATCTTATTACAATCATCTAGATGTCCATTAGAAAACGTCGTTTGTAAATTAGACATCAAAGGACAAATTTTAAGATAAGTTGTGATACGCATATTAATTCTGTCTAACTTTATAAATCTAATTTCTTGAGTGTTTATAACCTTATCCTGTGGATGCCTATCTAGTCTGCTAAATATAGACCCTTTTATATTTAATATCAATAGATTTATAATAATAGTCCAGTTGTACCTCTAACAAGAATTCCTAAATCTTGTCTGATCTTTTCAAACCTGGCAACTTAATAGCCCAAATTCATTTATTAAGTTTGTATGCATAAGTGGATGCAGTGGTTG